GATATTTGTCTCATTAACGCTATTGAAATTGGCTGCGAACTCGACGCAAGTGGACTCGAATCAGCCTGCAAGCGGTAGTGGATGCTCTTATCCTGGCAAATAGATGTCGAATACGCTCCAGTGGTCTTCCAAACGCTGACTGCAGTCTTACTGTGGTGACCACGATGGCACTGTGGGTCTAGAAACTTTCAGAATACTTGGGAAAGGCACATGTGGTGACCTATGCCGACATTTTTCATCTTCATGGCAACTTTTTCGGTGTCCGAGGTTCCAGCCTTCTTCCAAGTCACTGCAAGGAGCAGAAGGCAGTTTTGGCACCTGAAAATATTGTCGTGGAACTCCACAAAACTCGAAAAATGTGAACAGTATGGTGGCCTTGTGGACACTGAAGTTAGTCGTTACGCAAAAAAATTGCAGCCCGCACATCATGTTCCAAGGCAACCACTGTTATTTGTTGGTAACAATGGTAGGTATAACATGCCAGGATTTGGAATGAATTGGTTGAAAAAAAAGTTATAGGCGAAGAAGCGTTTGGCCGAATACTTTAGACGCTACTGTACCTAGGTCTTCATTCGAACTTCCGTGAGAGTCCAAACCATTCCACGCTGAATGTTACGACCCTTGCCTGCGGGTGCACCCTCAAGTGGCGTCCAACCACCACTACACTCCAGCTTACCTTTCGAGCGTTCCCGAGTGACGAGTGTATAGCGTATCATTGTCGTATTGCCTCGTTCTGGACACAAGTTTTTAACAATTGTACCCATACTGCAATAACACACAAAAAAATGCAGCAGCCACTACATCCAAATGAAGTACTTAGCCACGTTCTCTAAAACTCCTCGATAGGGAGTCTATGCCCAGAACGTCGCCTATGCCCATAACGTCACCAATAAGTTTTCGAGATTTCAATCAACCTTCAAACAAGAACATAATCGTGGACTGAACATCTGCTCGTGCTGATGATACTATAATTATTCCTTTTGATGCTGCTCAAAATTGAGAATCTATGAAATTTGCGGACTCCTCAAAAAGAGACTACTGTGAAGTAGAGCACTCTGTACAGGGAGCACTTTTGTCTTGCCTGTACTCGAAAAGCAATGGCTTTCCAGTTCAAAGCATTATAGGCCTATCAGCCTGATTTTGAATTTTTGCCAGATCTTCCAAAAAAACTTCAAAAAGGGCTCCGTAGCTGACATTGAAATTCTAACATTCTGCTCACCTTAAACTACGAATATTGTACTGGAAGATCAGTCAAAGGGGAAGAGCAGCTGAAGGCATCAGATTTGAAGAGAAATGTCGACGCGATCTTTCAGGTTGGCCCATAAATAATGGCGTTTTTTGTCACACACATTTTTATACGGAAAGTGACAAATGTTTCCGATATATTCTACATTGTTTGAGAGGAAATGTTCTGCACTATAAGACGGTGTATTGCTCTCTTATTATTTCTCGATTTGTGTCGATTTTTATTTCATTGAAAGAGAAATTCGGGTCGACCCAAAAGTGAGTTTTCGACAACTACTTTTTGAATTTTATCTCGGCTCTCAATCTACAGAAGAAGCTCAAACCTTGTGGTATATATGACCAAAAAAAGATGCGTCTTATGACAGCTTGAAACTTGGTTCAAGCAATCAAGAGGTGGGAATCATGGGGGTCCTCTTGGGGAGGGACTGCCTGCAGAACCTACCCACTTATTTTCGAACACGTCTAACATCAACTGAGGGTGGTGGTTGATAATGATAAGGAAGCATTCTATGACCTCTAACGATCCTCAATCTTTGGCATGATTCTCAGTTAATAAGGTAATTCCGTAAGCTCTCAGTTGGACAGAATAGGGCATTAGGTTCGATGCTTGTCTGTGAGGTCGAAACTGAAATCTTCGAATCACTCAAAGTATTATTAGCATTCCTAAGAGACATAGCCTTCAGCCATATACTTAGCAGCTGGGCCCATGCGGTTTTAGCTTTTTAATTAGAGGTATAAAAGAGAGGCTGTCGAAAATGCTCAATTTCGTCGACCTGACACTCCAGTTTGAGCACTTAAATATTAGTGGAAAGAGAAACTTGAAGAAAACTAAGAAGATTTTTGAGTAAGGCGAGGAATTCTCTGTAAAATATCAGGAAACTGAACGATAGAACTCCCTTTCTTCAGCGCGATATTTCCAGTGAAAAAAACGCCATTACTCATGAGCCGACCCAATACTTTGATTTCGTTGAAACTGTTAAAGGCACAATGTACACTCAGTTGCAAGGTTCCTCCTCGAGGATAACGAGCCCCCAACTGTCCAAGCGTAGTGGTTTCCCGTCCGAACATGCGCGGGAATGGGGATCCAGGACCGTGGGATAGGCTAATTCCTCCATGCTCCGCCTAAAATGCAACTTGCGGCGCAGACATGCTGAACGCCGCTACAATACCCCGACCCCATTTCTACTCACCGCCGTCCGCGCGGCGCTCCTGGTACTTTGCCAACTCTTGTGATTGCGCTCTCGAATACAATTAAGACGCGAACTCCTGATGCGGATGACATTTAGGTATTGCTCATGCTGCAGTTCCTACTCGAAGATGATGACGAGGGCCAGAATTCGAGAGCGACCCTGCCGTTTCTGTAATCATCCTAAGCCACGCATTCCCACCGAACATGGGAATAAAAACGGGGCTGACGTTCTACCCCTTTGTTCAAAGTTTTTTATAGCTTTGAAGCCGGAATCGCGCCGAATTGCAAAAATTTACACGGGTTTTTGTACATTAACTCGGATTTTCTATCCAAATTTCATTATTTTATTTACATTTATTTACATCTACATTCGTTGTTCTTCAGTTCTAGCCTTTGTCATCTTCATCATCTTCGATTCGGACTTTGCAGCATGAGCAACACCTCAAATGTTATCCGCATCAGGAGTTTGCGTTTTAATTGTATTCCAAAGCGCAATTACATGCAGGGGGAATTCCCAGCGGGGGGGGGAGGGAGGAGGACGTGAGCGCTGGAGCCAGCCAACAGTGCACAATACAGCGATGTATTTAGCATGAAGCTGGGTGGCAGGGGAAGAAAGGCTCCCTTGGCAAAACCCTGTGATCTGACTACGGAAGGTCGTCAGGTCGGAGAGGCCACTTGTAATGAGACGTGCCGGCTGACGCCGGCGCGCCTCCTCTGTGATGTGATACGTACGGCCCGCATACATAGCGCCCGCGCTGGCCGGAGGGGGGGGGGGAGGGGGAGTTGCGTGTGGCTCTCCGGTCGAGGACCCTCCCGTCGTCTTTGTCACACCGTTCAAGATGCATACAGACGATACCTGGCTTTCTGTCATCTCTGCACTTTGTCAATGCTACTTACCATAATGTCATGCA